ATTTTATTTCATGGGAAAGAAAGTGCTTTATTAAATCGATATTCAGGATAATACAGGAAAGTGCCGCTACGTCTACAAAAGTAATTCTATTCTCTATACATATAAACCTACATCCTACTTGCAAAATAAAAATTGCAAAAGGTATTATCCTGTCGACTTGATCACCTTCTTTGTCATAATACATAGTAACTTTCATTCAAATAAAACTGGTAGTTCATCGTTAGGTTTAGTCATCGTTCAAGTGGCATCGGTAGTTTAGTTTCAACTATCATCTATTTTTTTCGATTTTAGAAATCAAAATAAGAAAAAAAAAGATAAAAGGAAAAAAATAAATGAAAGGGGGTTTTTACTGGAACTGGTCCCTTTTGATGTTCAACAGAATAGATTTTCTGAGTAAAGTAGAGGTTTTACACGGAGATTTTTGTTTTCATTTTTTATTCAATACGAGCGTGAAATATAATATACATAAGATTTTTTTTATTTGCCACAAGAGTAGCTTCCCTTTTTTGTTATTTTCTCTGTGAAGTCACATCAAACTCGTATAAAATGTACAGGGATCCAATAATCATTAAAACTCACTTTTTCTTCTTATCTGCTTTTGATTAGATAAGAATAAAGTAACACATTATTTATATTTGCAAAAAAAAATGTCAAACCCCCTTAACAATAAGGACTTTACTTAATAAGAAACCTAAAAAGAGTTTTACATTTTTTAAAATTGTATGAAACTCAGTCGTGTCTTTCGTTACCCTGTGCACAAAATGTCATGCATGGGCCAAAGACGATATTCATGAGCTTCGTTATGTAGAAAGCGGACTAAAGCCAATCATTCCTCAGTGCATGATAGATAAAAGATAAGTAAAGAGAAATATTTCTAAGTCGACGTTCCACTGAGACCTCTGACTTCGCGAGAGATTTCACCTCTCTTCATTTTGTTTTTTGTTTTTTTTTTAATGTTTTTTGTTTTTTGTTTTTGTTTTTAATCACGTCTGTCTCTTTCTTTTGTCTTTCCGTTCGCTCTGACGTCACAGAATGGGGAAGAGAGAACGTTTTTTCTTTTCGTTTATTTGTTTTTTATTTTTTTGTGTGTTTCCTTGTCTTCTCTTTATTCGTCTTCTCTCCGTCTCTCCTTCTAAGACTCCCCATCCTGTCCCTTAAAATACGTCCTTACATAATACTTAAAAACATAAACGCGTCCGTTCTTATATCTCTCTCCTTCTCTCTCTCTCTCTCTCTCCCTTTTTACATGAACAAATCCGCTACGCTTTATTATTCCTTCCTTAGAATTAGACAAAAAAAAAGGGGTGTCGCAGCATTAGTAGAATTCCATCTTAGACGACGGCCAGGAGCTTGACTTTCTTGTCGTTAATTTCCTTAAACTCCTTGAAGATGTTTTCGAGCGTGGCGACATCTGGCATCGTGGAGCCGGGGATGTCCGTGATGGTCTTCGTCAGATTCTCCGTCACGTTGGTCAGGGCGGACCACGTGTCGCACAGCTCTTGGACCTGGGGGAGGAAAGAGGGTAGGAGGGGGGAAAAAGAGGGTGGAGGGGGGGAGGGGGAAAAAAGAGGGTGGAGGGGGGGAGGCGGAAGGGAGAAAGGGTTGATGGAAAGAAAAGGGGGAAGGGGGATGGGGGAAGGGAGAAGGAGTTGAGGGAAAGGGAGTGTGGAGGTGGGGGGAGGGGTTGAGGGAAAAGAGGGAGGTATGAGGAAGGGAGAAGTAGGAGGAAAGGGGAAGATAGACAAGGCAAAGGATAATATCAAGAAGGGAGAAGGAGAAAGAGATAAAGATCGAATTAGAAAACAGCATAAACTGAGGAACCAATTATCAATAATCAATATATATATATATATATATATATATATATATATATATATATATATATATATATATATATATATATATACATACATATTTGTGTATTAATATATATGACCACCAATATTATATTACACTCACACTCTCTGCCGACTATTGACTATCACTTCCACTTTTTCCTTGGCAAGGTTGCAATTAATGATCATGGTCTCTACTACAACGTCAATATTGATACAATCCTTCAATTTCTCGCCACAATATTTACACGTTAGCAAGTCAATATTGACGCCGGTGCTTAATTTCTTGAAATGTTGAAGGGAGGATATGTATCAGGATTTACTCATTTTTTTCTCTCTCTCTTTCATTTCTTCCGTTCCTTCCGTTGCCTTCCTTCCCTTTTCTTTTCTCTTTTTCTTTTTCCTTTTTTGCTGTTATTCTTCTTCTTTTTCTTTTGAAACTCTTTTTCTTCTTTTCCGTCTTTTTGTTTACAAACTCAAATCGTATCTATTTCTATTTCCTTATCTATTATTTATATTTTCAATAAAATACAAACGGCAGCCATTGTCATCTCCCAGTTACTGTCATTTCCAAACTAATATTTTTGTTTATCTGTTCATACTCTCTCTCTCTCTCTCTCTCTCTCTCTCTCTCTCTCTCTCTCTCTCTCTCTCTCTCTCTCTCTCTCTCTCTCTCTCTCTCTTTCACTCTCTCTTTCTCTCTCTGATATATATATATATATATATATATATATATATATATATATATATATATATATATATATATATATACATACATACATACATACATACATATCCCTCTCCTCACCCTTGCAACTTGCTGAATATCCATACCTTTGCAACTCCCACTCGACCCTTGCATGACCTCCCCCTGGACACTTGCAACTCGCCCTCGACCCATGCAACTCGCCCTTGACCCTTGCATGACCTCCCACTCGACCCTTGCAACTAGCCCTTACCTTTTTAACCCGCTCGTCGGCCGTCTTCTTCACGACGTCCCAGCGGTTGGTGAGCGTCTCCACCTCGTTGTCCTCCTTCGTGCACTTCTCCATCAGGGACCTGGACTCGGCCGCCGCGTCCAGCTTCGACCTGTTTTCCTGGCAGGCGACTTCGAAGGTCTGGAGGCGCGGGGGACGAGGGAGAAAGGGGGGGGGGGAGAGGGAAAGTGTTAGATATGTGAGGATTTTTTTTTTCTCTCTCTCTCTGTCTATCTTTTTTTTTCTTTATCTCTATTTTTTATTTAACTGTTTTGTTTTGTTTTAGATTTATCTGTCAATGTCTCTCTCTTTCTCTCTCTCTTTATCTCTCTATTTATCTATCTATCTATCTATCTATCTATCTATCTATCTATCTATCTCCCTCTCTCTCATCCATCCATTTCCCCTCTTCTTTTCTCTCCCTCCCGTTCTCTTCCCTCCCGTGCTTCCCTTCTCTCTGTCTTCCTCCTCCCTCGTTTCTTTCCCTCCCCTCTCCTCCCCTCTCCTCTCCTCCTCCCCTCCCCTCTCCTCCTCTCCTCCCCCCTCCTCCCCTCTCCTCCCCTCTCCTCCCCTCCTCCCCTCTCCCCCTCCTACCTCAACTCAATCCAACTTTAACAGTCTCCAGCAACGCCAGAACTTTCTTTTACTTCTGTCCTTCACTTTTTCCTTTCCTTTACTTCCCTCCCTCTTTCCCTCTCCTTCTTTCCTCCTTACCTCCTTTTCCTCCACCTTCCTATCGTCTCCTTTCTCCTCCTTACCTCCCCTCCTTACCCTACCCTCCCAGCTTCCCTTCCTCCCACTCCAACCCCACTCTACCCCACTCCTCTCCATCCCACCCCCTCCTTCCCCTCCTCCCCCCTCCCTCTTCCTCCCTCCATCCCTCCCTCCCTCCCTCCCTCCCTCCCTCCCTCCTTTCCATCCCTACCCCCCTCCCCCCTCAAAAAAAAAGAAAAAAAAAAATACCTTGACGGTCTCCAGCAGCGCCAGGGCCTCCTCCAGCTTTTCGGGCTTCTGCAGGGCCGTCTTGGCTACGTTCTCGGCGTCCTCCATCCAAGGCTTGAAGTTCTTGACGCCGTGGAGGTAATCGGCGAAGTATTTCTGGTCCTGCGTGATCGATCCTGCTTCGATCTCGATCCTGTCATGGAGCTCGTTGATGGTTTCTTTAATGGTTTCGAATTCGCGCATGTGTCCTAGGGCTGTTTCGTTGGTCTGGCCTTCTTCCTCTGCGTGGGCGTGGGCGTGAGTGGAGGGAGAGAAGGGGGGGAGATATGGGCGTTTAGAATGGGGGGAATGGAAGTGTGGGTTGGGGATTTTTTCTTTTTTCTTTTTTCTTTCTTTTTTTTTTAGCTTGAGGCAAAGTGGTGCTTAATTTCTTAATTTCTTGGAACTGCAATTCTCCGTGCGACTAAATGTCAAATATTTTGTATTCTCTGTTTTTAGCAAAAATGGAGAATTCATCGCCAATGTTTGAATAAGTGTGAAACAACGAATTAATTACTTAACATGATTTCTGAAGGCAATTAAGACTTAATTCTCATAAACTTGCTTAATTTTTTTTCTTTCTTTTTTTGAGGGGGATGCTATGACATTTGAAAATTTCTTTGATATCAGTTAGTAAATCAGTAAAATGAAAATAATCATATATTATTCAAATTATCGCCAAACTAGCGCCGGCATCATACATTATTACGATAAACATGTTAATAGTCAGAAAGAAATCATAAAATTAAGCTTTATAATCACATTAATGATAATGATGGTTCACCTGATGATAATACGAACGCAGAAAAAAAAAGATCTTTGTAAAATATTCTTAAAATTATAACAATTCTGATTCTAGCGATAAAAATAACTTTACATTTATTCTAATTAATGACTTTATATCTGCTAGAAATGGATATATATTATCATCATTTTCACCGTTCCATCATTACCCTAATTATAGACATACCGTAACTGGAAGAAAGTAAATAAATGAATAAACAGAAAAGACAATTCTTTCCCTGCTCTTGTTGTTAAAAAACTTATCTTTTTTATATTCCTTAAATCAACAAATTGATAAGAGAAATAATCGATAATATTCATATTAATTAGAGAGTATGTAAAACACCAGAGATTAATTTCCCAGAGAAGATCCAAATCAAGGTGGTTGCAGATGTTGCAAAAATGCAAGACAACACACGGGATTGCAAAAAAAGGGGGGGAGGGGGATCTGGTGCCGAGTAATCAATGGCAGGATTGCAAAAAGGGGGGGGGGGAAGGGGGGCGGATTTGCAATACGTTAGTTTGAGGTCTCAAAACCAGCTGTTTTTTTTAAATTATTATTACTGGTATAATATAATCAAAATCTGTTTGTTGCCCCAAAAAATAAGGAAGTTAACGAAATCGACAGTCATAGAACACCCAGAGGGAAATAATAACAATAATAATGATAGTATTCACAAGCGCAGATTATTATAAATGGTTGATCAGTAACTGCGTTTCATGCTAAGAAAAGAACAAAAAAAAATAAATATGTGAGAGGAATAACGTAAAAGGAAAACAAAAGAATATCCATTTGCGAAAGAACGGCCAAGATATCAAGATTAAAAAAAAAAAAATCGAATTAGGGGAAAAAAATTAAATAAAATTGGTTTTCAGAAGCTTAGCATGACAGACAAATCTTACTCAATTTTCTTATATTTTTCTTGTCCTCAGCCCATATCCATCCAGAGCGAATGAGCAGTTGATATCAATACTGAAAAGGTGAAGAGATTTAGGTCGTCTTCAGAGATATGGGGGTGGGGGGGATAGTGACATCTGTGTCATGGGGGGAAAATAGTGACTTTGTTCCCTATCAAGAGAGAGTGTACTGGGTTTTTAAAAAGTGGACACAGAGAGCATGTTTTACCGTGATTGGTTTCACTTTCATAGAAGTATACATGTATATCTCTAAATTCAAGAAATATTCTGTTGTCACTTTTGACACCATGTATATTCGTACTGTCTAATATGATTTATAGTATAGTATGACATATATAATATATATATATATATATATATATATATATATATATATATATATATATATATATATACATACATATATATACACATATATACATATATATACATATATACATATATATACATATACACATATATACATCTACATATACATGTATATAAAGAAGATATAGTAGCAAAGTAGACGTTCCTGTAAAAGAAATTGCCTTGGACCTAAATAAAAGCACCAAGGCATTTAGATTTTTTTCCTCTCTTTGTATCCTCCTCCTCCTTCTCGCTCATCACAACATTCACAAAACACTCCAATAAACCATCAAAATAAGCCAACAGCCAACTAACCTTCTCCTGTTGATGACGAAGCCAGCGACGACCGCAAGATATGGAAAAAGGGAGACACAGTGAGTCATGAGGAACTTGTGCATGACAGGAGACGTGACAGAGAGAGAAAAAAAAGGGAGAGTGTCACGTGGCTGTATCGTGATGATTCTTGGATGGAAACTAGAGTAAAAAATGTTGAGTAAAAAGAAGAAAAAAAAATGAAAAGAAAAGAAAAGTTTTAAAATTCATCTATGTATACAGAGGCAATGTCAGAAAAAAGATATCTTAGTTTTTTTCCAAATTTCCTCGTGTACAATATGGAACTTTTTTCAAGTAATTAAAAAAATACAGCACGAAATAAAATGAAAAGAAGTAACAAAAATACAAAAGGTTCTGAAAAAAAAATCACGAGCATCTGTACCCATTTTCGGGAAAAAAATGGTATGGTATAATCTTCATAATGACAGGATGAAATTCTATCATATATATGTATATATGCATATTAAAACACGTAATGTTCCCGTCGAAGAACATTCTAGCACACAAAACCATAACACAAAAAAAAAATCTCTTCCTGAAAACGCAACGTCAGATTTCACTTACCGTCAACGGCTGATACATTTTATTTTGTCCAGATAATTCATTCAATGGACAGTTGGGAAGTTGGCAGGGGGCGAAGCATCGACAGAAAAGGGGAGGGGGGGAAGAGAAAAGAAAAGGCAACAACGTCAAAATGCATTCACATACAGAAAAAGTTACCAGGATGCTATGTCAGTTCGCTAGTAACCAGAAAATGGGAGTTTAATACTTTAAATTTTGGGTTCATAGCTACTCAAAATATGTGGTTTACAAACTACTACAATACCAGATACAAAGCTATTTAAAAAAATGTCTAGACAGGGCTTAATAAAGTGCGTATATGTCATATATGTTGTATATCATAAATTGTTGTATATCTTATATCAACAAGGTTCAAACTTGGCAGAAAATGTCCAAGAAATAGTCCTCTTAACAAAAAAAAAAAAAAAAAACTATATAAAAACACTATAAAAATGGCTACATTTCGAATACAACCAAAATATTCAAATAAATTTATATAGGAAACACGAATTACTTATATTTAAGCCTACGAAGAGTATGTTTAAGATTATGATACCATCATAACAATTTTTAACGAAATTTTAGGGACATTTTTTTCTGTGTTGTGAGTGTGGTTGTTGTACCAAGCAAATATTTCTGGGTCATTGTCATCCAACCGTCGCCATAACAGTTAACAGTTAAACAGTCTACTCAAAACACACATAATTAATTAGCTTTTTATTTGATTACTTATCTTTACCTTTACTCTCATTAATTACCAAGGCCACGACTTACCGGCAGCAAATGATGATTATATATGTATAGAGAAACAGAAGCAAAGCCAAGCTAAAAGCAAATATATTCCATGTAAGTTTTATGAACTGAAAATATTGCTTGACTGAGGAGTTGATGTCCTACAGGTAGTTGAGGGCCATTTTAATTATCTTTTTTTCTCTCTCGAAAATTAAATATGTATTTATCTTTTAATTACCAAAGTGTCCCTTTTATAAATCAAGAGTTTTAACAAGGGGGGTAATGATGTAGTAATGTGAATATGTCGGTATAGTGTGTACTACTTACCGGGAACTGTTGTAGTTTAAGAGACCGTCATATGCACACACACGGCAATGATGTGGCAGCGCATGATGTGAAAGAAATGAAAAAAAATATGGTAAGGAAAAGCACGTTAGTTTAAGGGGAGGGGTTGGAGGTGCATATATAAGTTTAGGAGTTAAAGGAAATTTAGAGTTTAAAACAAAATCAAAATAAATATCTATGTACTTACTTCAGGGGGGAAAAAACTGTTGTTAAGAAAATGTAAAAATAAAAACATAATCATAAGGTACTTTAGTTTTTTTCAAAAAAGGAGGTTAAGTGCAGTTAGAAATGTCAGATCAAAAAAAAGAAAAGATTAACAATGTAAAATCCACATAGCAACAGAATAATGATGTTAAATTAATCAACCAAAATCAAATCATAATGCATAAATAATGATGGAACATGGAAAGGGATGTTTACTGTGAGAAACTTAGCCGTAAGCACTCAAAGGCGACACCACCCGGAGAGCAGTTCATGCAAACACTGGCACTGCGAGTAGATGTTAATTTCCAAACGCCAATGGAAGTCTGCTGTAGACATATGACTTGAATAATATTTTGAATGTCATATATTCTCTGAGTGTGGACAAGTGCTCATACGAATCTAATTATTCGTGCAAAATAGGCCTAAAGTGATCAGTGCACAATCCACAACCATACTGCAAGCAGGTCCGATGGTCGGATGCCTTCAAAGCAGTTGCAAGAAGAAAAAAAATCTGGATATCGACTTCGAGAAAAAAAAAACATTGCAGATTTCGGTGCATGAATATCCCAAGCTCAAGCCGATGATTCGACCCCTTGCTTACCGTCCAAAAGGGCGTGGACCTCCGCTTCCAAAGGTTCCAAGACTGGCAGCCTTTCGTTAACCTGAAAGAGGAATCGAGAGTTTATTGCCGAATTTCATCTCATGTTCCTCTTCATCTTTTGTTTCCATTATATTAAGGAGGATAGCGATCTCCTTCTGATTCGCTGGTATTGTTAGTGGTTTTCTAAATTTTGATATCCCTTAAAGACCCAAAGGAAAATAGAATAACTTTCGACACGCATTCAACAAGCTGACTGTTCCTCGTCGCACCTGTCCCTGGAGGTCAAAGATTTCCTTGACGCGGTCTTCGGGCGAGAGTTCGACGGAGGTGGTGATGAAGTTGAGCTTCTCCCCGGCCGGAGTCATCCAGGCTCTGAGCTCCGCCAGCTGGCTCACCATCTTGTGGAGCCTCTGGTTGAACTCGGTGAGGTCGGTGAGCGCCTTGTCCACCTTGTCGACGATCTGCTTCTTCTCGTCGATGTCGATGATCTCCTTCTCCATGAACTCCCTCTTGTCTTCACCAGCGAGGGCGATGATGGTGGCAAAGCACTTCTTGATCACCTCGTAGATCTCGAGGGCGACCTTCTTGTTCTCCTCGGCCTTCTTCTTCTTCCTCTCCAGCCAGTCCGAGCCCTTCTTGGGGTCATAGATCTTCTTGTAGGTCTTGAACTGGTCCTCCAGGGTGTCCAGAGGAGCCATGATGGCCTGGCGCTGCTGCTCGTACACCTCCCAGTCCTTGAATGTGCCTGGGGGAGGGAAAGGGAAGCTTAGTTGAGATTTAAAGGGGGTTTAGCAGAGGTTTAGGAATTTAAATATTGATGAGGATGATTAGGACTGGAATGTCCTAGGATTTATAGTTTTAAAGAACAAGACCACCAAAAGCTGAGGACCGAATACAGAAGAAAAAAAATGACCAGTGGTAAGATGACACAAACTTGAAGACAAAGAGAACTACAATAAGTAACAGTAGAATATAATGATAAAAAGGAAAGTTAAGAAGATGAAAAACATTTTAAAAAATTAGAGAGAACTATAAGAAATGGATGAAAAACACCAAAAAAAAGACAAAGAGAAGCGTAAGAAACACCGAGTAGTACACATTGACAAGAAACAGAGGATAAAGAACGTCCAGCATCGCGCACCATTGAGTAGTTCAATGCGCTGCTGGGCCTTCTCGTTGGTGTCCTTCCACGTCTCCTCCAGCTTGGCAATCTCGCGCTCCAGGAAGGACGGGGCGTTGGGGTTGGACTTCAGCTTGGCTCCGCGTTTCATCAGCTCGTTGTAGATGGGCGACTGGTTCTCGATGGTGCGGAGGACCTGCGGGGGAAGAGGAGGCGGTGAGAGGGAAAGAGACTGCGCGAGGGGGGAAGTGGAAGTGGTGAGAGAGGGGGCGACTGCGCGAGGGGGGAAGTGGAGGTGGTGAGAAAGAGAGACTGCGCGTGGGGGGAAGTGGAGGTGGTGAGAAAGAGAGAATGCGCGAGGGGGGAAGTGGAGGTGGTAAGAGAGGGGGCGACTGCGCGAGGGGGAAGTGGAGGTGGTAAGAGAGGGGCGAATGCGCGATGGGGGAAGTGGAGGCGGTGAGAGAGAGAGAGAGAAAGAGAATGAGTGAGGGGTGAAGTGGAACCAGTAAAAGAGAGAAAAAAAAGCGCGAATGGGGGGGGGGAATGGAGGTAAGGGGGATTGAACGGTAATAAGCGGAACCATACAATTAAAATCTAACACCCCCCGCTCCCCGAAAGAAAATACTAATAATAATCACAAAAACACTTGACAGAAAACCCACTACACCAAGAGCAAATATATTTAAAGACAAAACTCTCGGAATTATCCTGAAATTTCACCTCCAGCTCCAAACACCTAATATAAACACCTAATATAAATATAAATTCCGAAAATGCTATCCAAATTTTTCATCTTTTTCGTCCAGAAGTGATTTTTATTCCCCATGGCCTTCCATCCTAAAGCTTAAATCACAGGGAGTAGAAAAAATAAAATAAAATTAAAAAATAAAAAATAAAAAAAACTCCGCTATCTCTTATACTACTCATTAAAAAAATAAGAATTGAAAAAAAAATAATAATAATAATAATAATAAAATTCACCTATCTCTTATACTACTCATAAATAAATTAAGAATTGAAAAAAAATAAAAATAAATAAATAAAAACTTTCACCTATCTCTTATACTACTCATAAATTAATTAAGAATTGAAAAAAAAAAGATAAATAAAAAAAAACTTTCACCTATCTCTTATACTACTCATAGAAAATTAAGAATTGAAAAAAAAAATAAAAAATAAAAAAAAATTCACCCTCTTTAACACCGCTCTTAGGGAAAAAAAAAAACTTTCACCATTAATCTTCAGCAAATCTCATAAAAATAACTCACAACCTCACCTTCTCCTGCTTGTCGATCTGCTCCTCACACATGTCCATGTTGTGAGGGTGGATCTCCTTCATGGACAGATGGCGCTGTTCGTTCAGTACCTTCATGACAGGATGGATGTCGTCGCCGAAAGCATAGCACTCGGAGTAATGGTCAACCTTACCTGCGGAGGGAAAAGAGGGTGGCGATGTTGGGAGAGAGAAAGAGGAAGAAAGAAAGAAAGAGAGAGAGGGGGAGATGGAGATAAAGGAGTGAAAATAGAGAGAAATAATATATAGAGAGTCGAAGCGGGGAGACGAGAGACAAGAGACAAGGGGAGCGACAGAGGGATAGGATAGGAGGGGAAAGGGAGACGTAAAAAAAAGAAAGGGAAGTACAGACAGACATAAAGAAAACAGAGAGTGAGATGAAGATGAGAGAAAGGGACAAAGAAAACAAAGAGATGGATATGCAGAAAATCACACGGATGAGGATAAATATCTTCACAGTACAAAAGATGTATTTAATTGGTTAAATACATCTTTTCAATGTGAAGATATTAATTTTCCTCCGTGCCATTTCTACATTAGCCACAAAGAATACTGTTCAGAGAGGAGAGAAAGAGAGAGAGAGAGAATGAGAGAGGGGGGAAAGTGAAAGGGAGAGATTGAGAGACTGAGAGAGAAAGAAAGAGAGAGAGAGAGAGAGAGAGAGAGAGGGAGAGGGAGAGGGAGAGGGAGAGGGAGAGGGAGAGGGAGAGGGAGAGGGAGAGAGAGAGAGAGAGAGAGAAAAAGAGAGAGAGAGAGAAAGAGAGAGAGAGAGAGAGAGGTGCAGAGTGAAAGAGAGAGAAGAAAAGAGAAGAGAGAAAGAAAGAGAAGAGAGAGAGAGAGAGAGAGAGAAGTGCAGAGAGAAAGAGAGAGAAGAAAAGAGAAGAGTGAGAGAGAGGGGAAGGAAAGAGAAGATAGAAAAATAAAAAAGAGAGAAAGAAAGAAGAGAAGAAGGAGAAGAGAAGACACGAGAAGAGAAGAGAGAAAGAGAGAGAGGGGGGAAGGGAAAAGAAGAAAGAAAGAAGAGAGAGAGAGAAAGCGAGGGAAAAGGAGAAAGACAGAAATGAAAGAGGAGAGAGAAGAGGGGGGGTGAAGAAGAGAGGAGAAGAGAGAGGGAGGAGACTGGGAGCGTGAGAGAGATGAGAGGAAAGAGAGAGAGAGAGAGGAGAGAGAGAGAGAGAGGAGACGAGAGAGAGAGAGAGGAAGAGAGAGAGAGAGAGATAAGAGAGAGATGAGAGTAAAAGAGAGAGAGAGAGAGAGATGAGAGAAAAGAGAGAGAGAGAGAGAGAGGAGGAAGAGAGAGAGAGAGAAGAAGAGAGAAGGAGAAGAAAGAGAGAGGAAGAGATTGAAAGAGAGAGAGAGAGAGAGAGAGAGATAGAGAGAAAGAGAGAGAGAGAGAGACCGAGAAGGAGAAAGAGAGAGGAAAATAGAAAGAGAGAAGAGAGAAAAATTCCGACAAAGCAGAAAAAAAGAAGAGAGAAAGATATAAAAAAAAGAAAAAGTAAAACAGAGACAGAGAGAGAGAGCAATAAGAAACAGAATGAAAAATAAAGGTAAGAAGAAGAGAGAGAGATAACAGCGAGAGAAACACTGCATTTGACGGAATAACTCTCACAGCAATAATGATTAACTATCTGTGAATGAAATGAAAGAAGACTCACGTATAAAGATTGCAGACGAGTCAAGTCAATATTGCAAAAGGCAGGTGTCGTGTTCAGAGCCAGACATCCTTTTCGTTATAAATCAGACTCTATGCGTTGACGTTGGATATAAGGAAATAAATAGTTGTATTGATTGAAGCAGATACGCAGGTTGATTGTAGTAAATAGGTCAGTGAATGGAGAATTGATAAATTGTTATCACATGCAGACGATAATGTTGAATTCATTGACAAAACCGAAATTAGTTAATAATTATAATAGTTAATCGTTTTCATATGGATGATAATGATCAGCTGTTTTTTTTTTTTTTACCGCAGTTAAATGACTGATTTTAGATACGGTAAATTAACCTTAGTTATGAAGAGGGGAAAAATATAAGCTTTTTTTTGGGGGGTGAAAGCATTAGTAATTTTATGCTTTTTTTTAAGGATTTTTGAGTTGAGTTGCAGTTTCTCTTGTGTGAGAAAACCTTATCGAAAAGGGTTTAGTCGACAGGGAAAGAAATAAGAAAATAGGGGGAAATCGTCGTCGTAAGAAAAGCAAGTGGAAAGAAGAATTTAAAAAAGGAGTGTATAAGAAAGGAAGAAGAGGAGATTGAAAACAAGAGGAAGGATACACAGACATGAAATGGTAGATGAGAAGCGATGAAAATCCAAGAATATGAAGTATTTTTTTCGAAATTCTTTGAAAGGGGAAAAAAAAAGAAGAAACAGAAAAAGAAACGGAATTTTGAAAAGCAAGAAATTTGTAGAAAGAGCAAATTAAAAGCAACGAAGAAAAAGAAAATGAGAAGATGATAGCTATGACAAATTTGAAGATGAAATGATGTTGATGGCGATGGATCGATGATTGATAAGCCGTCATCAGCTGCCGTTCCTTCAAACTGCGACGTCCACACGGAGGTACCGGACATCACAAACATCGAATGACGTCACAAGAGGGGCAAGGGACGTCACAGACATCAAAACGACGCGAGACAAGGGCAGCACGGGACACCACAAAACACGGGAGTGACGTCACAGAAGGCCGTTCGCAGACAAGACGGCTACAAGAACGCATCGACTCTCTGGCGTTTCATTGAAATGCTCAAACAAGGGTTCGTGGATCCCACAATCAAGGCACAGGAATAGTGGCTTGCAAGAGTGGGCTGTGGTGGGTGCTCTTTATCTTTTCTTTTAAGCGTTTTTTTTTATTATTATTTGCAACTGGCGTTTTCTCTTTAAAATAGAAGGATTCTCTTGTGTGTCTGTCTTGCTCTGAGATGCTGATTGGAGTTTTGTCGAGGTATTTCTGTTTACGTTTTGCATTCGGGAGTGATTCGATGTTGTGTGTCTATTAGAGGGATTCGTGATAATAGATTGTAAGTAACTGGGAGTGTGTCTAAATAAGTGATTTTTTTTTACTAAGAATTTGAATTGGTCCATCTTGACTGTGGGATAAATTGGGAATAGACAGAAAGCAATCCATCTTAGCTATCAAATGATCTATGCACACAGGGTCTCTGAAGCAACTACGGCTCTCTGCTAACTCAGTAAGAAAATCTACTGAAGAAAGCTAATTCTGGAGAGAAGTTCCTCCCTTGCTTATAATTATCCACTCTGGTGAAATCTGGGATGACCTTGCGTTTTCTTAAAAGTTTACTGAAATTCTTAATCTTTCATCAGGAGTGGACAGTGGTCGGGAGAGTACACTATAATGCATATGTGGAACTCTATGATGCCAATAACGGTGCATTCTTAGGGGGTGAAGGGTTGGCGTAACCAGGTGGAGGAGAGTGTGTCTTTTTTGAAAGGGAAAGGTGCCATTTAGGACACTTTCTATGGGGAAACATCGAATGTCTAAACCTTGTTATTCTAAGGCTGTGTTCTAGGTCTTTGTGGGGACTGACTGACAGCACACAGATTTGGACACAACACTCGATTTCGACTGACACTAGAATCTTCAATCTTTCTAAAGAAAAACACAGTTTTACCAGCCTTTGTCCTTACCGCTTTTTCCGTCACGTTTTTTATGTAAAGGAATAGTAATAAGAAGAAATGATGAGGGAAAAAAGTCAAGGGAAAGAGAGTGAAAGAATGAAAAAAATTCAAAAGCTTGAGATTTTTACATTTTCAGTCAGGAAAGACAGAGAGACGTGACGCGGCCAGAGCCAAGGACAAGGGCGGTCGAGGCGAAACCAGAGCGACTGACAGCAGCTGCGGTCGTGGCAAGTGTCGACGCCGTCTGGGGTCGTGGCTCGAACCAAACACGAAAGACATCATCGGTCGTGACGGCGACAAAGGCCAACAAACGACCGATAACAGCTGTAGT